TTTTTTTTTTTTGTATTCGGTTAAGTGATTTTATTATTTTATTCGGGTACAGTGATTCAGTGTTCTTACACCACTGAAGAACTGAGTTTGTTATTTCTTTTACAAACAATTGAATACTTAGGGATCAAGTGCTTTTGTAGCTAGGAGGGATTCTTAGTTATTTGTAAATTAAGTCCACGTTTGGTGGCTCGAGAAGTAGTTAATAGGTTCGGATATAGTATTGGGTGGAATAGGAGGAAGACCGAGTCGTGTGTCCAAGTTGTATTGTGTGCCCGCAAACCGATATATTAATAAAACAGCTATAAAACGTAATGACATGCATCTCGAAGAGATTTTTTAATTTATTTACTTCCCTTTTGAATTTGGGTATTTGAAGACACCTTGTGTACTCTATTTTCTCCTCTACCTACATTTCCCATAGAGTTGAACTTTACGGCATCAATTTTCGCAAGTTGATCATGTTTGATTTTTAGTTATGGTCGATCAAGTAAAGAACTTGGCGTGGTGTACGAACCGAATGCATTGGTTCTACTTATTAATTTAGTTTATGGGTTCACATCACTAGATTTTATAAGATACTTGGTATGTGAGCATAGGTCGGTACAGTTCGAGATTGAAAAATCTCCGGAACTGTATCAAAAAATGGGACAATTCGGTTTGAATATTTTTATTTTTTGGGATGGTTCAATTCGTCATTCGTGACTATCGGAATGGTTCGATTCGGTATGATTCGATTCAGATCTTCAGAGATGTATTATTTTTTTTTATTTTAAAATTTTTTTGAATGACTACCTAATTATATTATAATTTCCATATGCTTTAAAAAACAACATTCATCAACACTTCATCATATTGAAAATTTTATTTTGAAATTAACTTTAAAAGTAACTATAAATTTTAGTTATATAATTTTATCAATTTTGCTATGGAGTTATCCGATGACACGACTTATGGAGCCATCCATATTTTATTATTGTTATAAAGATAAATATAAATTATTTTTTTATACATACAATATGAATGTTAAATCGAAGCTCATCAAAAGAAGATTAATTTGATATATTACATATGTAAAACTGATAAAGAAAATACAAAAGTTATTAACTTTGAAAATATATATACAATTCGATAGTTATAATAAGGAATGATATTAAAATACAATTAATACATGTAACATGACCATAAATAATCAACATATTTATGGTAATCCGAACCTAATTATTTTTGGTTTGGAATTAAATTAAAATTTACCAAGCCTAATAACGAAGCATGTAATTTTGCCACATAGGATTCTGAAGCACCAGAAGCAGCCACGTAGGGTCAGCGCGTTCTGTATTAATATATAGGGGGGATAACAAGAAAAATTCAATTGTAGATCAAATATTACTAAGAATGAAATTTATAAGAGAAGCGCAAGTGTTATTATTATATGTTATTTGATTTTAAAAATTTTTAAATTATATATGATCAAAGTGGACATAAAATATATCAATAACACATATAATGTTATAGTTCAATTCTTAATTTCAGTTCTTTGGTTCGGTACGGTATGAGACGATTCGGTTCGATTCGCGGTACAGATATTTGTGAAATCTCTAGAACCTTACTAAATATTTTTTCGATTCGGTTCGATTTGGAAAAAGTCAAACGGTCAACGATTATTTGAAGTGATTTCAGTTCAGTTTTCAAAACGGTTCATAATTTTCTGAATCTCATGCTTAGCCCTACTTGGTATGGTGCACAAACCGAATGCATTGGCTCTACTTATTAATTTATTCTATGGTTTAACATCACTAATTTTTATATAAGACGGTGTTATCATTAAGGGAAACAATCCATTATATTTTTTATAATAAAAATATATATTTATA